AAGGTAAAGGCCCTCCCGTTGATCGTTGATTTGCTCGAGCGGGCCCAGTAACGTCTCCATTGGAGACTTTGTTGTTACTGTGTTTGGCATATCGAATACTCTCGGTAGCTTGCCGGACTCTCCGAGAGGGGCGGAGGAATCGAACTCGGGTTGGCCATGTTGGCCGCTTGTAAGGCGAACGCCCTACCGCTGTGCTATTGCTCCAGCCTATATATATCTTGGGTGCTGGACAGATAGTACAGCAGGTAGGGCTTTTGCCTAGTACATGGCTGACTGAGTTTTGATCCCTGGCATCCCGTATGGTCCTCTAAACACCCACCAGGAGTGATTCCTGAGTACAGAGCCAGGAGTAGGCCCTGAGTCCCCACTGGGTGTGCCCTAAAAAACAAAACACAAAACACCGCTCTGTCTATCCTGACATTATTTTCAATGTTAAAAAGTAGCTAAATATCTTCAGAAGTTCCAATTATTTGAGTTTTCCAGAACAAAGCAGGACAAATATCCAACTTTGTTCTGGAATATAAATTTTAGAATATAAATTGTTTGAAAATAAATTGTAGGCTTCCACGGACTATGCCTATCTTATCTGTGTCATATTCCTAGAATTTATCAAGGCATTAACTTTGATTAGGCAGGGCTTGACATAAAAGTCTGAAAAATGAAGATGGTGAAAGTATAATTCTGATTCAGATCACTTGGGCTCTAGTTTCCTTGATCTTTCTCCACATAACACAGTAGAGTATCAGGGAGGGGAAGTTCTGTTCTCAACTTTATGGTGGTGATGGGGGTCAGAGTGATAAAAGAGATGGTGTGCGTGCAAGTATCTCGAGCCCTCTTGGTTCATAGGAGTTGCTTGGTGCATGTTGTTAATTGTTGTTTTCTTTGTCAAAGATTTTTCTAAGATGCTGTGTTTCCAGTGTAAGTTCCTGAAATATCCTAACTCCTTCCCTCCTGATAATTTGTAGAGCTCTCTCTAGGTACTGGAAGAATACTGGGCACTTAGTAGAGACAGAATCAAGGCACTTCTTTTGAGACCGAAGTGTATTCAAAGGGACCAATTAAGTGATGGCAGCAATATTGTTCTTGTCTGTGAATAAGGCACAGGCCAGTTCCACAACTTCTGTTGCAAGGGGTCTGGGGAGAGATTTGTCCCCCTAGAGAAGTGGAAAGCACACAGCACCCCAACCCCCATCTCACTTTCACCTTATAAGTCATCCTTTCAGTGGATGGAGACTTTCTTTGAGACCACAGTGATGAATGAGGACGCTTTGCAGAAAGCAGAGCTAATGAAGCAGATATTCCTTGTGTAAAACTTTCTTCCCTAACTGGGCAGCAGTGCCAGTTTAGGGTTTCAAGTTAAATACATTTATTTTGAGATGGTGGTTGCACAGGAAAGAAAACTGGTGGAGTGACCTATGACCTCTCTTCTGGCTTTGCTTCTACAAGGAAGACCTAGTCTCTCTTGTCTACTGTCTCGAAAATGCAGATAATCAAGGAAGTGAATTTTAAATGCAGAAGGATTCTTCAGCAAACAAAAGAGAAATGAATAATGGAATGATTCAGCTGCTGCTAGATAAATGACTTCCTTTTGGGTTTTCACCTCATACTTCCAAGACAATTTTAGGTCAGAGGAGTAACAGCAATCAAGAGAAGCTGCTTTTCTTCACTGTGAAGAAAAATTCATACCATATTCTGGAGCATCATCACATGATACAGAGCAATTTGGGGAGATATGCTTGGGACCCAACTCGATGTATCTTTGAAAACTCTCCCAGGAACACTTTTCCTTGATGTAGGATGTAAAATAGAACAAAACAAAAACCAAACGACAAAACAAAAAGCAAGGCAAACCACTGCACCTGGAGAATTGTTGATATCCTCAGATACAGTCAATGTAAGTTTTCCCATTCTGTTTTTAAATCATATAATAGGAAAATTCATCTAAAATAAAATTGTTGAAGAATAGTTCTATTTAGGCATCAATACTTTCCACACTATTGTGTTTTTCTTTGATAACCCAAACAGGAGACTTTTCTTTGACTTTCACATTTATAGCAATTGGTTTATTTCATACTCTCCTAAATTAAAATCAAATGATTAATCAGCTGAGGTTTTGATGTTTTGATCATCTAAGTTTATTTTTTGGACAAGCAACTGATCATTCATATGATTGCATTTTCTGTACTCTCATACATTTTTTTTGGTCTGAGACCACTACTTTGACATTTTTCACATTTGTAATAAAAATAAATTTCTGCTTAGTTTTGAATGCATGTACTCAGCACCTTGACATCTTAAAACACTCGAAGTATGTATTTATGATAGTGATTTCCAGGAGGTCACTGAGTAAATGTTCATCTCCTCAGATTCTGTACACACACTTGAAATTTTCTCTTTCATTTGCTGCACTCTGCAACATCAGGATTGGGGGAGAGAGAAGAGTGATTTTATTTTTTTTATTTCACAACTAAGACTAATGAGACTTTGAAACCTTGTCTCTGGCCGCCTTCCTAGTAAATAGCAGAGAAAGTGCTCAAAACTGATTTAGCTTAAGTGACAGTGTAGCAGAGGAAAGCCCATAGGGTTTCCCATCTCTGAAATGCTTATACGGGAGTTGATACTTTGCATTATTAGCTCTTCAAGCTCTTATAATTTGTTAAATACAGTATCAATTTGCTATCTTGAAAACAGAGCAAAAACCAATAATGAGAGGTGTGCCATGAGGATGAAATGAGCTGATACATGTAAAGCAGTTAGCAAAAGCTCTGGACAGAGTTTAAGTGCTGCCTAGATGTTTGCAGTTAAATTGCTCTCTCTCTCTCTCTCTCTCTCTCTCTCTCTCTCTCTCTCTCTCTCTCTCTCTCTCTTCTATAATGTTATGTCTTTGAAAGGGCCCCAGGAGACCAGTCATTTGCAGAAGCTGAATTTGCCTTCTTGCCTTTTTGCAACAAAGATTGGAGAGAGGAAAAGAAGGATGCTGTGTCCACACTGAAATCTTCTCTTCAATGTTTCTTTTGTCTTTCTTCTTCTAACTCTTCTGGACTTCTGGACTTTCACTTAATTCTTTTCCTCCTAGGCATCCATCTTTAGCAGTTTGGAAGAATTATCTATGTTTAGGAGGCTCATGTGTCCATAAAAATCATATATAGTTGGTGTGTGGGTTACTGTCTGCTTAACCAAAACCAAGATGGGACCTGGAACTTCCTTAGTAACATAGGATAGTGCAGAGGGTGAGGAAGTTGTGTGGTTTGTGAGAAGCACCTGTCTTTATGTCTGTAACTTCCACTGTAGCAAATAGACAGATAACTGTTTAATAGACTATTTTATTGTTTTTTTTTTATATGCAAGTGTTTCTGTGCGTGTGTGAGCGTACACTCGTGTGTGCACACTTGCAATATAAAACTTTGAGCAGTTCCTAAAAACAGGAGAGAGACTGGTAGCTTTTAACTGGCAGCAGAGAAACCAGAGAAAAAGCAAAACTCAGAAGTGTCTGTCCAAAAGGGTAAAAAAAAACAAACCCATTAGATTGGCTTTTGAGGTAGAATACTATATGCTATGTGTGTACGGAGAGGGAGTAAAAGAGCAGGAGAGAAATGGGAAATTTGGGCAGTTCTCCAGCTGCAACAGGTCAGTTTTTTTTCCCAATATTTTTTGCTTGTTTTATGTCAGTTTGTGTTACAATCAGAAACACTGGCTTATTGCAAGGTCTAAGAAGAAAGAAGCAATTCAAGGAGTATAGGATATACATGAAGACCTTATCAGGCGATCCTAAATACAGTTTCTCCAGTGCCACTGAATCTATGGGAGTCATGCTGAAAATGAATGGCAGACCACTCCTGGTGGATTAATAAAATCAATGTCTGCAAAATGTTTCATTTCAGTAACAAAAGAAATGACAGTGTAGATAACTATCAATTTATTTTTATTTAAAACATTTTTTATTGAGACAACATTGGTTTATGAGACTGTAAAAGTTTATAAATTTCAGTTTATAAATGCAATGTTTATAAATATAATGTCACTATTTCATGTTCACTGCTAGAGTCCCCCGGGCCCTTTCCCCCACTCGCCCACCCACCTTGTCAACCTCTGTTCTATGGTCTGCGTCTCAAGAGTTTGTTTTTTAATTAAACATTGTTTCATAGATTATTGTAAGATCATCCAGATAATGTTTATATAATTAAATCAATATTTCTATATAATACCTTAGGTATCTAGATAGAGAGATACTCGTAATTTTGTGTATAGCAGAATGATTTGGCACAGAATTTTATTTTATTTTTAATATTTTTTTATTTTATAAAGTAGTTCACAATATTTCATTACATTTAATATTCAAACACCAATCCCACCATCATTACACCTTCCCACCACCATATTATGGGTGTTTCCATCCTGAACCCCAATCCCTGCCCCAAAACAGAAATGAAATAATAGATTTTGAATTGTTTGTTGTAAAAAATCACTGAAAATGCTACTAAAAAGTATCCTTAGAGAAAAGAATGTGAAGATTGTTGTATTCCACCTAAGGGCCATTAAGTCCTTCTATAAGAGATGACTACCATGTTAAAGGTTGATCCTCGTGTGCCTATGTATATATATATATGTATATATATATATATATAAATATGTAAAAAAATTTTCCTTCTAAGATAGGTTGCCTCCGACTTTGAACCCCATCAAATGTGGTGTAGTACTCTTGAAGTATGGGTAGGGTGTGTCCTATGAAGTGTCACAGGGCCGTGAATGCGACCACATGGTTCAGGAATATGTTCACTAGTTGGTGACGTTTGGTCTGAGCATGCGGAGAGTGGCTGTGAGTATGGCACAGAATTTTAAACAGTGTTTAGAGACACAAAAAGGAATTGGTTACCATAAGGCAAGCCTTGTAACCCTTCCCACCCTACACCCCCAGAATTCGCCTGTCATAATTATGTTTCTTTCTTGACCTCATAGGAAGTACACTGCCTTCATTCTCAATATTATCGGAATCTACAGAAATGCCACACAATGTCACAGAGTTTTTTATGTTGGGACTCTCCCAGCACCCAGAGGTACAGAGAGTTCTCTTTGTGATATTTTTGATCATCTATGTGGTCACGGTTTGTGGCAACATGCTCATAATAGTCACCATCATCTCCTCTTCTACTCTGGCATCACCCATGTATTTTTTCCTGGCCCATCTGTCTTTTATTGACACCTGTTATTCCTCCTCCCTAGCCCCTAAGCTCATTGCTGACTCCTTGTATGAGGGAAGAACCATTTCTTATGAGTGCTGCCTCACTCAGCTCTTCGGAGCCCATTTTTTGGGAGGTGTTGAGATCATCCTGCTCACTGTGATGGCCTATGATCGCTATGTGGCCATCTGCAAGCCACTGTACTACACAACTATCATGACCAGGCATCTTTGTACCCTGCTGGTGGGAGTGGCATGGCTGGGAGGTTTCCTGCATTCATTGGTCCAGATTTTCCTGGTCCTCCAGTTGCCCTTCTGTGGGCCCAACGTCATCAATCACTTCGTCTGTGACCTGTACCCCTTGCTGGAACTGGCCTGCACGGACACGTACGTCATTGGTCTGCTGGTGGTGGCCAACAGCGGTGTGATTTGCCTGCTGAACTTCCTCATGCTGGCCGTCTCCTACATCGTCATCCTGCGCTCCCTGAGATCCCACAGTGCAGAAGGGAGGCGCAAAGCCCTCTCCACCTGCGGGGCCCACTTCACCGTAGTGGCCTTGTTCTTTGTGCCTTGTATATTTACTTACATGCGTCCAACAACTACATTATCTATTGATAAAAACATGGCAGTATTTTATGGTATTCTGACACCTATGTTGAATCCAGTCATTTACACCCTGAGAAATGCAGAGGTGAAGAATGCCATGCGGAAGTTCCTCACACAGTTTGCAACCACAGATGGACAGTGAGTGATAATGAGGGAAAGAAAAATGACTTTCTGTAAGTGGAACAAACCGAAGCTTGTTTACCGTTACTGTCCATCATTGTAGTCCATTGTATCCACTTCTTTTGACCCCTGTGTTTTAGTCTTTTCACCCGAATAAATAACTCTATGAAATGTGTTGAGTATTTAAGAATTTTAGAAATATTTACAAGTTTTAGAAATGAGGGAACAGTGTTTCCTGATATAGTTTACTTATTAGTCAAGGTGATGTTAATATAAATTACCTAAGCCCACTTCCAGTTTTTATTTACTTTCTTTTAGTTAATTTACTGTTGGTACCTAACAGAGTTGCTGTAGTATTAATGATTTTGGTATATAAAGATAATTCACTTCCTCCACTACCAAAATCCCAGGAACCCTCCACCACTGTCCTTGGCTCACTTCTGGGAATCAATTCCCCTAACCCCAATACCCGTTCCTCACTTAGTAATCCTCCTTCTGTGATCAAAGTCCAAGGAATTTTTTCTTTGGATACTGTCCATTCCCTTGTATGTTCTGTTTATAAGGTCATCTGCTATTGTCTTCTCTCTGATTTGTTTTGATTGACACCCTCTATTTCCATTCAAGTTGTAGCAAAAGGAAAGGGTATATATTATATTTTAGCAGGCATAATATTCTAATGTGTATTTATACCACAATTACTTCCTCCTCTCAGCTTCATTAGTATTTAGGAATTTCCTTATCTTAGCTATTGTAACAAGCATGTACATAAGCGTGTATGTAACTTTTCAAGATGGTATTTTTGTGCTCTTAGATTAGATACCAGGAAATGGAATCACTGCGTCACATGAAAGTTCTGTTTAATTTTTTTTTAATTTCAATAGTGTCTTTCATGCAGATTGAGGCAGCCAGCATCCCTAGCAAGAGTTTCTTTTTTAGTATATCTCTGCCAACATTGCTTATGTCTGATATTTTTGATATAGGCCTTTTTTACTAGTGTGAGATGATATCTCATTATTGTGTTGATTTGCATTTTCCTGATATTCGGTGTGGGTGAACACTTTTTTCACATGCCTGTTGACTATCTGTATATCTTCTTTGAGGAAGGGTATGCTCATCTCCAATTTTCCATGGGACTGTTTTCATTTTTTGTTGTTGAGTTTTGTGAGTACTTTTTATATTAGCCCTTTGTGCACATATTTTTCTCTCAGGCAGTAGGGGTGTATTTTAAATGTTGTCTAAGTTATTTTATAGTGCAGAAACAAGTGACTTCTAATATATCATGAAGATTTTTAAATAGCAATCTTAGTTAATGTCATTTGAGTCAGTGGTCGTATCATTTGAGAGTGTGGAATTTAGTTTAGTTTTCATTGTCACTGTCACTGGAGCGATAGCACAGGGGCTGGAGCGATAGCACAGCGGGTAGGGCGTTCGCCTTACAAGCGGCTAACATGGCCGACCCGAGTTCGATTCCTCCGCCCTTCTCGGAGAGCCCGGCAAGCTACTGAGAGTATTTCGCCCGCAAAGCAGAGCCTGGCAAGCTACCCATGATGTATTCGATATGCCAAACACAGTAACAACAAAGTCTCCAATGGAGACGTTACTGGGCCCGCTTGAACAAATCGATGAACAACGATTCACTGTCACTGTCACTGTCCTCCCGTTGTTCATCGATTTGCTTGAGCGGGCACCAGTAACGTCTCACAGTGAATTATGAGACTTGTTGTTACTGTTTTTGGCATATAGAATATGTCACAGGTAACTTGCCAGGCTTTGCCGTGTGAGGGAGATACTTTCGGTAGCTTGCCGGGCTCTCGAGAGGGGCGAAAGAATAGAACCCAGGCCTGCCATGTGCAAGACAAATGCCCTACCCACTGTGCTATCGCTCCAACCCAGTTTAGTTTTAGGAGCAGAAAAAATACAACCTAATAATTTCAATAATTATTAATAATTCCACACTTGGTCCTACATAGCTGTTGCATCATCCAACTAAGCCTCACCCACCCCGCTTCTGACTTCAGCAACACAGTTGTAATGTTTTGGCAGAGATGCTGAGGTCTAGATTCTTACTGAGCAAACAAATGTGGTTGAGTCTGATTTCCCATGTTAACTAGTGTCATGACTTTGCTAAGGGACCTAGAAGCCCTGATGCATGTCTTAAAGCTACATATAATGTGGTATAATAATGCATATGTGGTGTATTGTGAGAATTAAATTACAGATTCTAAATAAAGTTCTAATTCTGTTTTCTGGCAAATAAGTTCAATTAGGTATTACTTAGTAATATTATCTGTGTCTCAATCCTTTCCTAATCTTCCATAAAACTATTTTTTTAATAAGAAGAGAAGGATAGAGGCAGCAGGAATAGAGACCAGGGGCCTTGGGCATATTGGTGATGTAGAAGTGTGGTGTGTGTGTATATTTAAGCTACAGAGCCAACAACATTGTAGCATGAAATTCAGACTATCACAAGCAAATTAAATAGTTTGCCTGTCAAGGAAACAGTCTTTGGGGGGATGTATGGGAGAGAATGGGAGAGGACCTGGCGACACTGGTGGAGGGAAGTTAATACTGGTGGTGTGATTGTTATTGGAAATTTGTAGACCTGAAACTCAACTGTGAATCACTATGTAAAGGTGTCTTAATAGTAATTTTTAATGTAAAAATATTAAATATTTTTTCTTTTACCATCCTATTGATACTATTTTTGAAATATATACCTCACTTAGGATAATGTTTTTTAAATCAGTGATGCAAAATAGTGTTTCCGTTAATTTTTTTCTCTTTCAAAGGATGCAAGTGTCCATTAATTTTTTTTCTCTTTCAAAGGATGCAAGTGTTTTGGATATGTTGATTTTCATTCCATTCTTTATTTTTCTTTGGCCAAATACAGCAGTGCTCAGGGCATACTCCTAACCTTGTGCTCAGAAATCACTCATTGTGGTGCTCAGGTCACCATATACTGTGCCAGAGATGGAGTTTGGTGGTTACATGCAAGATAAGTACTATTTCTCCAGTACTATCACAGTATTATCTTTCCAGTCCTTCATTCCAATCTTTTCCTGGTTTTATAAATTTTGATTATGTATTTTTTCCGGGTTCACCCTTTAAAAGTTTAGTATTCAATCATTTCTAATAAATTTGTCATTTATTTGACAAATATTCCCTAATTCAGCATGTTGCAACACATTTACTTTTATTAAATAAAACAAAATCAATAGGAAAATCAAAAGAAATTTTTGTTCAGTAATTACTCAAAATTAGTCTGAAGAACCAACAAATTAAGGAGATTATTGGGAAATGTTTTTTGTTTTACTACCAAATTCTATGGCTAAAGTTTATATTATTAATCGAATAGTGACAGTACTTTAGAAACAGAATAAAAGCAAATGTTGATTTACAGCTGAATTCCAAGTTTATTTTTATCTCTAAAGGTCTCACAACTGTCTTTCAGGTTTAGGGAGCAATTTCATCATATCAAGTTTGTAAAGTTATCCTTGTTCTTCAACATGATTATACATGCAGACATATCACAATATTCTTTTAAAAGGCAAAATTATATCAGATTACAATGTACTAAGACTTACATATCAGTGTTCTTGAGTTATTATTTTTTAATTAATGTGTTTGCATTACTGATAGATACAAAGCTGCAGATGGAGTTTTTCTTAAAATGAAGAGAACTTTTCAGCACTTTATTGAATATTCCCTAAATAGCCCTTGTTTCTAGACCAGTTTCTTTTATCTTAAAAACTTAATTTAGACATTGCGGTTTACAAAGTTCTTCATAATACAGTTGTATCATGCATTTAATCTAATACCAATCATACCACCAACCAGTGTGACCTTCTCTCTACCAAGGTCCCTAGTTTATCACTCATCTCCACAAGTTGTCTTCTTAGCAGGCACAAAATAATTTATTTTATATTGCTAATGGCAAATGACATTATTAAAAAATATTCAGTAAAAGAAAATTTGTGGAAATAGTTACATCTCACAATGGTGTTACTAAAGTCATTGAGGATTTACTGAGCTGGTTGGTGTTAGTTGATCCTTCAGTACTATTGTTTTTGTTCCCTAAACTCAGTGGGCTTCTATGTAGCTTTCTCCATCTAATTCGCTGTGCTCCTACAGAGATGTCAATACATGAAATTACATGACCATGTGCTCCAGAAGCTCAGGAACTGTAATGATTGAGGAGCTTGGTGTTTCTTTGAGATTAGTTTGGTCTGAGCTGTTTATATGCTGGAGGATATCTGTAGTGGTTACTCAGCCTTTGGTATGGACAGGACTTGACCCACCCCCATCCTGAGAAGGCTCTAGAATTCTCAACCCAGAGACTGGTCTACCTGGGAGTTTCAGTAGCTTGAACTCTCTTAGACATTAGTTGTGGAGCTGTGGCACTGCATCATTTATATGGTCTGGCTCAGTTTGACTTCTAGTTCACTGGTTCTGCATCTTTCAATGTTGCCATGTAAGTGGTATGGAATTTCTCTCAAAGTTCTTAATTTTACAAACAACTTATTTTTTGGTATATTTCTCATTACAATTGGACTAAAGCTCTCCCTAAGAGATACATTTTGGTACATTTCAGTGATACTCAATGTGTCATGATGGTTTCCTGAATTTCTTTTCTTTTCTTTCTTTCTTTTTAAATAGATTTTATTTGGAGGATTTTTAAGGGAGAGAGAGAGAGAGAGAGAGAGAGAGAGAGAGAAACGCGCTCAAGAGAGAATGCGGACATGTGGACTTCTCCAAGGGCGGAGAGAGCCCCTGGACACATTCCAGCATTAGACACGAAAGCATGAAAGTACACATCTCAAGAGGGGAGATGTGGCCAACACATGTGCTTAGGCACCACATGTGCTTGGCCACTTGGGTGCAAGCAGCACATGGGCTTGGGCAGCATATGTGCGCGCTTCCTTTGTTCAAGGTGTCTTTTATAGGCTCTTCTCCAGCTTGGATCACATCTTAATCCAATTAAGGGAGAGGTCCGAGGGTTTGAGGAACTTCATGGGGACAGGT